CTTAACATTTTTCATTACTTTAGTTCAGTTATCCCCTGTCTACTGTTTTTCACCATAGGATATAATCAGGGTGACCGTAAAGATTTATGCGCAGGGATATTCATCATAGCATTATTTATAATGGTGAAAAATTGAAAATAACCTAATGTCCATCTGTCAGGGATTGGTTAAATAGACTATTATGCAGTCATTAGAATTTGGAAAACTGCATAACAATGTTGAAAAATGACTTCTCTCTCTCTGGAAGTTTCCCCCATTGGTTCTACTAAAATGCAGGAGGAGGTTTGGAAGTGAAGTTGACTGACTCGTTTTTCTACAAATAAGATGGATTTGTCTCTAGAAACTTTGAATGTTTTGGGTTTTGCAAATATTAAGTTTAATGCAGCCCTGACAAGTGTGCCCTGCCCACCTGCCATCGAGAGTCACATAGTTGAGACATAAGGGCTGTACCCAGTACCCAGGGCCCACAGAAGGCAAGAGGCACACAAGTCTACTTGCCCTTTCCTTGCCTGCCCTGCCCTTCCCTCCCTATTCCCTCCCTGTTCCCTCCCAGGCTGGGCTATTCTTCCCTCAGCTTCCCATTGCAAATTTAGACAAAGTCAGCCTTGAGAATAAAATAAATCTCACAAGAGCATGAGCACACAAAAAACTCTCAAGTTAGTACTCTGAAAAAGCCAGTGCTATGTAGTCATCAGTTTCCAACTTGTTCCCCAAGCCAGACTTCTCCTTCCACAGCGCCTCTCACCCCCCATCAAGCTGGGACCTCTCAGGCAGATGGGCTGCCACGGACACCTGCCTTCGTGCTCCCCTTCTTTCCCACTTCTGGGCGGATATTTCTGGGTCGCGTGTAGCCACAGCGAGGGGCAGGGACACCGGAGGGTTCGGTGGAGAATTTGCCTGGCTGGCAGATAGTTCCAGCTAACCCTGGCTCTGGAGGGCTGCTCTGGGGCTTCCTCTCTGGAGAGCTTTTCTGTTTCACAGGTGATGTGCTTCCCCCTGGCTGGCCGTGCTCCACCTCAGCCCTGAGTTTCTGGGGATTCATCCCCTGGAATCACTCTGCATGCCGGCCGGTGTCCTCTCCTGCGTGGCTCAGGGGAAGCACTTCTGTGGACCTAAGCAACAGGGCTAACCTCATGCTACTAAATTGCTTTCCTGTCCTCTGCTGCTAAACCAGCCAGGTAGATTGATTGGAATTTCCCAGGTGTAAGCAGCACCAGTGTCCTGCCTCCAGGATACATAGACATCAGTCTTCTCTGTTGAAAGATTTCCCTGGTCTTGAGGAGGGATGCTGGACTTATATCCACGTTTCCCCAAAGAAATCCACCTTATAGATTCTGTCCTATCTCTATTCTCATAACCCCTTTTAAATCATCAATGTGGTAGAGGGATTCAGGAATTATATAACCAATCATCCAGCACGTCATCTGAAATTTTTGCAAAATAGGAAATGTAGCGGCAAAATAAGAAATGTAGCGTCACAGAGCTTGTGTCTTATCCAACTTTGAAAGAAGAAAGACCCATTTTAACATCCTGAGTCAGGCTTTCTGCATTCTCTTACTTTCCTGTCTAAAGCTTTAGTCATGTCAGGCTTGCACTTCCAATACACTCTCTTCTCCCTCCATCTACCCTTGCTCCTCTAGCCCAGGGAATGCCTGTCTATAGCACAAGGCTGCTCAACTGCCACCCTCTCCAAGATCCAGCAGCTAGATGCCTTCTGCTGTCCTTTTCTGGGACATTCCTCAGTTGCAGTACACTGGCTACCAAGCTAAAGAGGTAAGGCCTCCCTTAACCAGGCACAAATCACCTTAGCGCTCCCCACTGCACATTACTTGGGGCCTGGCACAAGGTAGGTGCTCAGGAAATGTAAAGGGCCAAATCTTGCCCTTGGCATTTAGAGGATTGGGTCACTTAAGGTCAAAGTCTCAAAGGGAAGAGGTGGCCCCATAGGAAGGGTCACATAGGTTCAGAGGAGCCTGGTGTGTTACAGAAAAGAGTTCAGTAATCTTTACTATCCTGAAAACTCAAAGAGGCAAAGACCCACCAGGGCAGAACCTACTTGCAGAGTTAATCACAAGGCTCAGGTTAGGCGAGATTAACCAGACAAATGAAGTGTGGTGGTCAGAGAGGGTGACTATGGCACTGCCGAGAAAGTACATCATTCATGTCAAGATTAATGTCCCCTGACCACTGAGTCTATTCAGGACCTCTCTGTGTCATATTTCTGTTCACTCGCTCATCTTGTCTGCCCTTGTTGCACATGAAAGCCAGGAGATGGCTGCACAAAATTAGGAAATCTCCAAGAAACCTCTAAGCCCTTCTAGACACTGGCTGTAACTTTGACCTAGTGTATAAAATTCAATAGCTAGCTTAGCTGGTTAATCAGCAAGACCTAGAAAAAAATCCCAGAGTTTTCTTTTTCCACATCCCAGCTAGGGGATGGGGCTCAAATTATTCATCAATGGATAGGAGGTGTGTTTGCATATGGAGGACAGGTGTACAATTCTACTGAAGATAAACAGGAGACTCCAGGCAATAACGGAGAATGAATAGATGACGATGCAATTTGCATGTGGACACAAGCAAAGGAGGGTCTGGCATTCATCTATAGGAGCATTTAGGATGTAGACTGTTGGAAGGAGAGCTAAGGCATTCCTCCTGAATCTAGGTGTTCATCTCAAGTGTACCATTTTGGCTTAGATTCATCTTCATTTAGATTGGCTTAGGGGAGGGGTCAGGAAGGAAACTGAGTCAGATGTAGACTGGGTCTTAGTATGAGCATAGAAAATCTTCCTGGAGAAAGTGTAGTGAGGACTTAAATATTACAGTATAACTCCATGTAGAAAACAAGGGAAGTTGAACCAGCTGAGTCGACTCTCTGCTGAGACCTCTGACAAAAGGAAAAGCAGACAGTGATGAGGGTGTGCCCTCGTTTGTGCTTCTTTTAGGAAGTCAGCATGTTTCCTCCCCTGGCTTCACCAGGAGTAAACACCCTGCTCACTCAGGTGTCCCTGGGTCATCAAATCCCAACCAGCAAGGCTCTGTGGTGGCCCAGGCATCTCCATCCAGGGCCGGCCCCACCTCTGCTCCATTTATCTTCATCCACCCAGGCTTCTACAGAATTTCATACTAGTCCATTTATCAAACATCTCTCAGAAATGACAGTGTCCCATGCTTTTCTAGTGGCTCACAAGCATTCCATTGTGTATCTGTACCACATTTTCTTTTCCCATGCATCCATCCACGGAGACCTAGATTGTTCCACATCCTGGCTCTTGGGAACAGTGCTGCCCTACACACAGGAATGTAGGTGTCTCTTTGACACATTGATTTCATTTCTTTTGGATGTATATTTGGCAATGAGATTGCTGGATCATGGGGTATTTCCATTTTTAATGTTAGGGGGAACTTCCATGTTGTTTAAAAAAGACAAAGTCTCTCAGAGACCTGAAAAAGGTATCTTTTCAACACTGGAGCCTCCAAAAGACAGCCTGGTATTCTGGTGTCAGCCTCTCTTCCCTTGAACTTAGGACCTGCCTCCCTCCTCAACTGGTGTTTACTTGTGTGAGTTTGCTTTTCTGGTCCTTGATAATGTTTTATATAATTTTTTTCCACCTATAAGTCCTGCATATTTCTTGTTAAATGTATTTCTGAACAATTCTATATTTGAGGATGTTCAAATAACTGATGATCATTTAATATTACATTTATCAACTGGTTATTTCTAATAAAATAGTGATTATTTTTATATTTTATCATGTAATTACCACTTTATCAGTTGTCTCATTAATTCCAGTGGCTTTCTAGTTGTCTCTGTTGGTTTTTCTAGGTAGATGATCATATCATAAGCAAAAATTATAAATAAAATTTTTATTTCCTCTTTTCCAGAATATATTGTTTTCTATTAAAATTTCCATGTGTCTGTGCATATAAGAGAGAAGGAAAGAGACAGAGACAGAAACAGAGAGAGAGAAAGAAAAATCTTTCCAACTTTTTCAATTCAATGAAATAAATTACAGTAAAATTATCCCTTCCTTAAAGGACTGATAATCCCACCAGTAATACTTTCTGGTCTCAGTATTTTTATAGAATTATTTCTTTAACAAAATTTTTATTTTTCTTTAGTCTTTGGTTTATTTATATTTTCCATATTTTCTTAAGCGGTCTGAAATGCGTCTCCTTTGCACATTATTAGTGTTATATAGTTTCTGTTTTTAGCAGAGTTGTTCATAGAAATCTCTCAAAAGTCTATAAATCTCCTTCATATTTGTGATTATATCTATATTATTCTCACTCCTATTTTGGGCTCAATTTTCCTTGATTAGATTTCTTGGTTTTGAATATTTTATTTATCATTTCAGGGAATCCAATCTCATTTATTTAGCAATTCTGCTGACTGCATATTTATGCTTGTTATTTCGGTTAATTCCTTTGTCCTACTTTCCTGATTTTTAAAAATTTTTTGCTGATTAGTTGAGTTTAATTGTCAGAATATTTGTTTTTACTTTTGCCTTGCTTAATAAGAAAAACATGTAAGATAAGGGTAAGCGCAGCTTTGGCCGCAGCCCATAAATTTCCCTGTGTCATTGTCTCATTGTTTTTCAAATCATCTATATTTGTAGTTGTATTCTATCTTTTACTCAGTTACACAGAATTGTGTTTATTAAATCTCAAGTAGTTTCTCATTTAAAATTATGTTGTTTATATATAGTTTGTATTGCAATTGGATAATGTAACCATTGCAACATTTTAAAGAATATAATCAGGTATTTTAGACTTCTAATGTAATTCTTGTCACAAAGATTCCATGGGGAGTAGAGAAAAGCAAGAATAAACTCTGCAAAATTTGATATATTGCTATTAAGTGAACTTTATCAATAGACTTCACTAACTTTGATATATTAAGTGAGCTAAGAAAAAATATGGTACTAAATCAGAAAAATACAATTATAACTTACCACTAATATTGTGTTTCTCTTCATTTATCTTTATATCTCTCATAGCTTTTCAGTATATATATTGTGATTCAACATTATTCATGACAGCAACAATAATCAAAGTAATAATACCTGACATATGTGAGGTACGTATGCTGTACTAACAACTGGGTCATTCACATTGAATGTCTGCTTAGCTTTCCGTTTGTCACACTGACACTATGAGGATGATCTGAAGTTGGCAGTGGAGGAAACTGCCACAGAGCACATCAGGGAGGGTCAGATTAGGCTGTGTGGATCAGGAGAAAAATAACAAGTTAAATCACGATGAAAGTTTGTTCCATTTACTTTGTGGCCTGGGGCTGGTATTATGGAGACTTCAAGTTGTCCCCAGGTCCACAGGATTCTTGTCTGTATTTTGTCATCCTTAGCTCAAAGATCTAAACTTAGACCTGGCTGAATTCAGATTCAGTGTTCCTAACCACCAGCTAGCCTGTTTCCTTTGGTATCTTACAGGGGAGACAGATGAAGGGCCTGACCATATGGACATCTGAGTCACCCGAAGTAACCTCTTCCCCAAACCCACAGTAGCCCTTGAAGTTAAGAGATGCTCACTTCCAAGTCCACCTTTTATGAAGGTGGAGACTGAGGTCCAGGCATTCATAAGTGTGGCCCGAGCCTTCCCCTGGAAGCCTTGCCACCTGCTGCAGGTGCTGCAGGCGCTGCCCACCCCTTGCTCTCTGACTTCTTCTTTGGAATAGCAGGAGTCGTAGTCTCATAGTTCTCTGTCATCTTCTAAGGCCCTCTGTTTCTTTTTTTTTTGTGCCTATGGTTAATACTTAGCTTAATCTCTTCTGTTAGCTCGTGCGACAGTGGGGAAGACTGTGTGTACTTGGTTATGTATTGCAGATGGCTTACTTTTTTGGCTTTATGTTACTTGCCTCTGTGAAGTAGGGCAGAAAAATGCCCACTTTCATGGGATAATGGAAGGGAGAATAGAGAAGAAAGACACATGGAAACACAAATATTTCAATATACTAGCTAGACACTCAGATAAGACCTGGTAAGAAAACTTTGAAAAGAAAGGTATGTTCTCTAGGAATTTTGTGAATTAGTATTTGAAGCATAGCATCTTCTCCCCATCCCCCCTTTATCTTTTCTACTTGGAAAAGGAAAACTATTGGTATAATGATATTTTCTCTTTAATCTTATACTGGTGTCATGGATTAAGTCTACTGTCAGAGACAATTTTGTCTTTTTCTTTTCAATTTTGCCTCTCTTACTGTTTGTTGTCTGTCTTGAACTTTGAGAACAATGGGAATAGTGGCCTCATGTGCTGGCATTTCTCTCTCTGACTTCTAAAGAATGCTTCCAATATTTTACTATTTAAAAAAATTCTGCTGTAGTTCTTAATTGTCACATCAACAAGTATTTTCCCTGTGATAACTAGCTTCTCATAGTTTTTTTTTTTTTTTTTTTTTTTTTGGTACCAGGGATTGAACCCTTCTCATAGTTTTAATAAACATGTGTGTTAAAATCTATCAGCTTTTGTGATGATCACTTTTCCTGTTTAATCTTTTAAATTTGTTAATTTAAGATTGGTTCCCTAATATTGGTTTAATCTTTCTGAGTGAACCATACTTGGTCAAAGTTTACTATTTTTTCTATAATATTATAGTTTGTTTCTTTGTATGTCCCCACATTTCTGATGAAAAGTAACCTTAGCTGATCATTTTTTCTTTCTGTTTCATTGAGTTTGTTGATCATATTTAAAAGCTCTTTATCTGATTTGGGAGTGAAGTTAAACTAGAATCTTTAGTTTAAGGAGCTTTAACCGAGCAGCAAAAATTTTTATGTTTATTTTCAGGTGTTTAAACTTCTATTTTACTAATTCCATAATCTTTATTAAGTGCTCTCAAATAATTTGGGTTTATTTTTCATCAGTTTCCTAGCTTTTTGAGCTTTAGGATTATTTATGTTATTTTTTAACTTTCTTTATTTTCTCCCATGTGTGTTCAACTTTACATATTCATGGGAGTCTTCGTAGAACTTCACATATGGTATTTCCATTGGCAGATTTCATTGTAAATAGTTCGTTATTTATTTGGACTTCCTTTTTACCCTGGAAGCTATTTAGCAGTAGAAGTAATAATAGCTTTAAAAAGAATGATAGAAGAGAGCTTAGTAATAGTTTCTGTTATTGACAAGTGGATAGGGCTTTTATTATTTTGCTATGCATTTTATTGTAGACTTTTGGTCACTAAATGGACCTATATTTTCACATTTTAAACTTTGTTAGAATTTTCTTTGTGTTAGTTTTTGCAAAACTACAAGATTTAATTTTAAATAAATATTTTCTGCTTATTGGAGTCATAATTTTGTGTGTAAAGAGATTTAGATAATATATTAGAAATATCTACAAACCCATAGAAATAGGCTAAATGTTTCATACATTTTTTTATTTCCTCAGACTCTATTGATCCAGTAGCTAAATTACTAAAGTAATAATTACTCATCAAGATAAAGTACATAAGAGATGAATCAACATTGTTCATAGAGGTAAGTGAAATTTCAATGACAGAAAATGGAGTAGGGATGCACGAATAAAGATGGACAAAGGAACTGAAATCTTTGTGCCAACAGAGAGGGTAACAGTGAAAAACAAATTAATTTTCCCCACAGGGCTCAAGGAAGGTCTGGGACTCACATGTGACAGTTGCCAAGGTTGCACATCTGTCCTGAGCAGTTAGATGTCACCCCCCATGCCTTTTCCAATCTTTTTGTCTTCCATGTGTGGCCAAGAAAATATCCCATTCCCATCTCTGCGGGGAATGGGAGCTTGATTAACTTTAAAGTGGAGAGACTCCAGATGTTGGAGAGAGTAGACACAGTTGGGAGAGAAGATGCTGAACTGAGAACAAAAGGAATAAGTAAATTCAAATCAAGAATGGTCATTCACACACCCTTTCCTCCAGTCTATTCTCAGGGTTTCATTAACTTGGTATATCCCCTACTGTCGTGTAGGAGTTTGAAGGGGTTTTTTTCTTCTAGAGAAACAAAATGGCCATAAATAAAAAGTCTTGAAAAGCCTCCTAATGGAGGAGGGGGTATCTAATAAAAAGACAAAACCTAGCAGCTTGATATTGCCATAATGGAGGTCCACAGGGGAGACCTTGTGCAGATATATGGAGCTTCCAATGAGTTTTAAGTTTTGCTCTTAAATTTGAATGGACAACCAAAATCACAACACATAAGAGAAAAGACTCATAGTGGACACCATAGTCTAAAGCAAGGAAGGATAAAAAATGAAAGCAAAGAAACAAATATAAAAGAACTTAGAGGAACAGATAATGGATGAGCAAGAATAAAACACATAGCAGAATAATAGTGTTGAGAAGATGAGTAACAAGAGAGAAAAAATGAGAAATGTGTTGGGCCTATCCTAGGGCTCCTATATCTGACCAGTAGTTGAAAAATTATGGAGAAAGGATCATCAAAGAGGTTATACTGACTGCTACAGTTGGATCCTAAGTGTCCTCCAGATGTCCATGTGCTACAGATTTAGTCCCCAGAATGGCACTATGGGGACCCAGGGGATGTCTTCAGGTCACCGAGGGTGTGACTTGAAGGTTGTAGTAGGACCCCAGCCCCTTCCTCTTCCATGACATGAGGCAACTTTGCTCCACTGTGTGCTCCCGCCACAATGTGTCAACACAGGCTCAGGAAGCAGAGGAGCAAATAAATCATGGACTAGATCCTCCAAAACTGAAGTAAAACAACCTTTGTCTCTTCAGAGCTTGGTCACTCCAGTGATTTGTTATTGCCATGGAAAACTGACTTCCATGTAATTGACAGATTGGTTGCACGTGTGAAGTGTACAATGGAATGAACAAAAAAAACCAACAAAAAATAAACTTTTTAAAAAAGAGAGAGAAAAAAAATAAAACTATGCCAACCACAGCATCACAAAATTTCAGAACACCAATGATAAAAAAAGCAGACCAAAAAGAACTTCCAAGAGGAAAATCAAAACAAAAAGAGACTCGTTTTATATAATGGGATAGTGTATTAGTCAGTTTTCTTGCTGCTGGGACACAATGCCAGATATTTACAAAGTAAAGGAGGAAAGGTTGAATTTGGCTCAGTTTCAGTCCATGGTTGGCTGGTTCCAAGGCAGGAACATCCATAGCAGAAGGATCTTGCAGAGGAAAGTTGCTCACCTCATGGCAACCAGGAAGCAGAGAGGGAAAGGGAAAAGCCAGGGACATAACACCCTTCCAGTTCATGTTTCAGTTCACCCATCTCCAACCAGACTCCAGGTTGTAACAGCGCATAAACTCATCCACAAATTAATCCACTGATGAGTATAGTCCCACCATGAGTCAGCTGCTGTCCAAAAGCCCCACCCTGAACATAAGGGTTTGAGGGATATTCTTGAATTAACCCATAACAAACAGGAAATGAGATAAAAATGCTGTTTCTCCACTGTGATTCTGCAAGCAAGGTGAACAAGCTCACTCACAAAAGGTTGTGGAAGAGAAGTCTCTGGGGGTAGGGAGCACATGAGGAACTCAGAAATATGTCTGAACATTTGGAAGATTACTGACAGGTATTTGACAGGTTTTTTGTATTATTTAGAAGAAATCACTCTCTACACATAGAACACTAAGTAAATAGGAAAACAAAACAATTGTCAATGCCAAAAAAAAAGCAAAATATTTCTAGGAAACTATTATATGCTGCTTGGCTAGGCAGAAGACAATATGGTCATATTAATGTAAACATGAATTACTGATATAACCAGAAATTATGATGTAGATATATGGATTACATGGAGGAAGAAAAGCAGAGGGTGGATGTGGAAAAGTAAAAATCGTAACTAATAAAATGAGAAATCAGTAATATATGTAATACTCATAAATCAACTAATAACAACATTAGCATTAGTCAGAAATAAGTAAAATCTTGAAAAGCTCTTCCTTACAGAAACCAGGAGTGGAGAGGAGGAAGGAGTGAAGCAGACCTTTTGATCTTATTTCATTTTTTAAAAATTATACACATTTATTACTTTAGTAAAAATGAAAATATTTTGAATAGTTAAGAACAAATTACACAGCTATATTTATAGTCAACTTTGTTACTGTGTTAACCACCACCCTTTTACAGACACATGATTAATGACAAAAGATACAAAAACCTAAATGGGAATAGGATGATCATTTTAGATAGGGTGATGGGTCAAAGGTGTGTGCACACACACACACACCATGGGTCAAGATGAACCTTGACCTCTGTGATGATTCATTTTATGTTTGAACTTCACAGGGCTGATGGGATACTCAGATACTTGGTCAAACCTTCTTCCTGATATATTTGTGATGGTGTGTCTGGATGACATTATCATCCAAAAGAGTAGACTGATTAAAGCCGATTGTCCTCCCTCATGTGTGTGGGCCTCAACAAATTATTCAAAGGCCTGAATAGAACAAAGAGGCCAACTGTCCCAGGAGCGAGAATGCACTTTTCCAGCACGACTTGGGCTGGAGGCATCAGACACTTATTTTGAGCTGAGGCATCAGACTTTTCTTTCCTTCAGACTCAAAGTGAAACATTGGATCTACTTGGTCTCAAGGCTGCAGGCTTCTATTCTGGACCTTATACCACTGACCTTCCTGATTCTCAGGCCTTTGGACCCAGACTGAAGCTGCGTCAGCGTTCTCCTGAGCCTCCATAATGCTGACTGCAAATCTCAAAGCTTCTCAGTCTCTGTAATCAATGAGACAATTTCTCACAACAGATCGATGTATTTATCTATGTATCTTTGTATCTATCTGTCATCTTGTTGGTTCTGTTTCTCTGGAGAACCCTGACTAAAACAACCCCTACCTCATATCATATGCAAAAAAGAGCTCAAGATATATCAATGAGTTAAATATGCTAATTAAAATAAGTCAGGTCCCTAGAAGAAAAAATAGGAAAAGGCTTTAATTGTCTTTGTGTAGGCAAACATTTGTTTAACAAGGCCAAAAAATGTACTACTAATAAAAGAAAAGATTAATATATTGGACTTTATTAAAACTAAGTAGTATGTTTAAAAGCACCATTAAAGGAAAGAAGAGACAAACCACAAACTCAGGAGAGATATTTGAGATACAAATATCCAACAGTAAATTTAAATTAAAAGTATAAAGAGACCTTATATAAATCAATTGGAAAAATTCAGACAATCCAATGAAAAGTAAAAAAATTGAATAGGCCTTTAGCAAAGAAGAAATTTTAAATAATCAATAAACACATTAAAGTGTTCATTGTCATTAAGCATCAGTAAGACATTTATTAAATCTCAATGACTCTTCTACACACCTGGCAAAAAGACTAATATGAAAGATTCACATTGCCAGATGTTAGAGAGAATGGAGAAGAGCTAGAACTATCTTAAACTGCTAATGAGAATATAAATAGGTACAATTGCTTTGTGAAATTATTTGGCCATACCTACCAAAGCAAAACATGCATTTATCTTATGACCAAGCAATTTTAATTACCAGTACATATATATACATACACACACACATATTCCTACCACCAGCACCAAAAAATGAGTGTTTATATCTACCAAAAGATGTTATTAAATACTTAGACATCCATTCTTTACAAAAGCACCCAAACAGAAAAACAAAAGTTGAATGGATAAATAAAGTCGTTGTTGAATCTATGCAATGAAATACAACTCAGCAATGAAGAAGAACCACATCTGAGTAGAGTCAAGATTCATGAACTCATAGACACAAAGGTACAGAAGAAACAACTCGCATGAGAGAGTACACACTTGATGATTTCATCTATATGAAGTTCAAAATGGGCTCAACTTCCTTAATCGTGAGGTGTGATCATAAATTATAGTGAATATTTAAATTTTAATTTTTTTTTGTACCGGGGATTGAACTTGGGTCCTTGCACTTGCAAGGCAGGCAGCATACCCACTGAACTAAATCCCCAGCCCCTGAATATTTAAATTTTAAAAATTTATAAATAGGGCACACATGTGTAAATACTGAATAGTTTCTCTATTGTGAGAAATTGAAAGTGTAAATAAGGATTAAAACGATTAAAAGATAATGTGAAATAGGAAGAAAAAGTGCGAAGGGGAAGTGGGAGGTGTAAGTGAAAGGAAAGAAGGGAATGGAATTAACATGAGAAAAGAAAAAAATGGAAACAAAGTCTATGTAAATAGGGAAGGGTGGAGGGCGTGAAGGGTGCACAGGTAATGGGGAAAAAATAAGAACCAAGATACATCATGTACAGGTACAAGCACCCAATGATAGATGTAAACATATTGTATACCTAAAATGTACCAATAAAAGCACTTAAGGAAAAAAAATTTATTACAGCAAGAGAAACATTGCCACTAATCTGCTTCAAATATTCTCCCTTGATTCAAACAAACTTATTCAAACACACTTATTCTATCATTCTTGCCATTTTTTCAAGTACTTCTGGAAGTCTTCTTTCATGAATGTGTTTAGTTGCTCTCTTGTAGTTGCTTCAATGTCCTGAATTGATTCAAAACCTATACCTTTCATGGTCTTTTTGACATTGGGGAAAGCCAGGAATCCCATGGTGCCAGATCCACTGAATAAGGTGGATGAGGACATACCATATACTATATGTTTCTGTTTGACAGAAATTTCCATAAACATTTAAAATCAATTCATGACATTCAAGTATCCATGAAAATACACTCAGATAACTTTTATATGCTGGGAAGCAAAATCATATGATTTGATTTTTATGATATGTGGTAGTCTGGAGCTGAACCAGCAATATCTCCAAGGTATGCCAGTAATTTGTATCAGACTTTGATACATCAAGGCAGGATGTTGTGAATGCTAGGTTAATTATTAATAAAGTAACAAAATAATAAATAGGTTAATAAAGGAAAGAAAGAGAATAATGAAAAGTATTTGATTAAATATAGAAAGGAGAAGAACAACATACAAGTGCATCAAGTGAAAGACAAAAGGTAAAATAGACACAAACAAAATAGAATCATAATTACATTAACTATAAGTGGGTAAATGAACCAAGTAACAAAGACCATCAAATTGGATGGAAAGACAAAAACTATCTCCAACTGCTTAAGACTCACAAGTTTAATCATGAGAATACACAATGTGAAAAGTAAAACAATGAGAAAAAACATTGGCGTAAACTCTAAACAAAAGGGCTACTGTAACCATACTTACACTGCCAGAGTAGTTTTTAAAACAAGAAATAATGCTAAAAGGAGAGCTACATTTCATAATGAAAAGGTGGTGAATCCAGGGAAAAGGATCACAGTTCTAAAAGTGAATGTGCACAGAAACTTAAATCCCAAATACATAAGAACTGCAACATTAAGGAACTTAAAATTAGGAATAGAAAACATCAGTACTATGCTTTTCTTCTTTTAATGTGATGAACAGCCTTTATAAATTTTATAATTTCATATCTTACTTGTTGAAATGAAACAAACTTGGACAGTATATTATATAGTCTCACTTCACATTTTGAGAGGTTTATGTTTTAACTCCATATTAATAAGTAAGATTAGCCTATAGCTTTTTTCTACATAGTCCTTGTCTGGTTTGGGTATATCTGCTGTGCTAATCATATAAAATAATTCTAACTTCTTTTTGTCTTCCAAAAGTGCTGGTGGAAGTTTAGAGTTATTTGTTGTTTAATTGTTTAGTAGAATTTTTCTTTAAAATGATCTGTGCTCATTGTTTTCTTTGTGGGAGGATTTTTACTATTCATGCAAATTACTTAATGATTATAAGATTATTTTTTCCATTAAGTTTATTGGTACATTTTAGGTATAAAATACAGTTACATTCATCATTGGGATCTTGTACTTTTACATGACAGATCTTGGTTCTTATTTTTTCCCCTTCTCCTCTCCTCCCTTCACCCCCTCCATTCTTCCCTATTTACAAAGTCTTTGTTTCCATTTTTTTCCTTTTCTCATATTTTTTCTTTTCCTTTCTTTCCTTTCCCCTACCCCTCCCACTTCCCCTACTCCTTTAGACCTTTTCTTCCTATTACACAAAATCAATTACACATTTTT